ATTTATGATTTTAAAGATGGTTGTTATACCAGCGGAATATTTTTACTGAGAAGGTGAAAATAACAATATGGAAATAATCTTTTAGATTTAAAGGATGTTATGTATGGTGATTTGTTTAAGGTATTATGTTGTGACATATAAATTTAAAATACATTTTAATTGAAAATTTTCACTAGAGCTAGCAGTTTTTACTATTTTTCAGAGTTCTCCAGAAAATTTTAGATTCAGATAAAAATCAAGCTTTAGATTAGACCTAAAAATATATAAAAAATTAGTGGAAGGTTAGGTTATGTCACAACCTTTTTTGTGAAATAAAATAATTGGTGTTGGTTGAGTTTGCATTTAGAAGAACATAGAAACAATAACATACATCTATACATTCAGTTAATGGTTAAGAAATGTTTTGTCTTATGAACAGTTTTCAGATTTAATTTCTGTTTCTGGTATTTACTTCATTAGAATATTATCTCCACCACTTACCCAGATATTTCACTAGAACATACTAACTGAAGCATAGAATGTTAGCCACTAAAAGGTTAAGATAAAATTATATTGAAGTTATTAACTACATAGTTTTGGTGAATGATGTTAAAAATTACTTTTTAAAAGATTTGTAAAGAGCAGTGTGGTAGTTAATTTAGGGCCAGTCTGTCATGTTTTTCCTAATCATTTTCATATATGTAGGAAATACAATTCATAATCCTATTAGTAATTTACAGACATTGATAAGTTGCATTATAATGGTTTCATTATATTTGCTGAAGATCCAATGGCATTGCATTCATATTGAATGTGAATGAGATTAATTACTTTTTGGGCTTTTCATGAATTGTTTTTTTTTATATACATACATACATACATAAACAATTGATAAGAAATAATGAAAGTTACCTCATTGTAGCTGAAACAGATAAGCAAAATAAATAATTTTTCAAACAAATCAAAATCATTCAGGGTAATAAGTGAGATTTATCTGAACTATGTTTGCTATGAATTATTTTGTTTTTATGAATCATGTAAGAAATTTTATTATCTGACAAAATGGATATGCAAATTGATTGTTTTGGAAACAAAATGTAATCATATTGATAATTAACATTTAGTTCATTTTATAAATTATTGCCATTTATGATTCCAAGTTGATTACAAACTATAAGGTTACCATATAAACATTAAGGCATAACTATGAACCATTTCTGAGTCACAGTATTACGATAGCTATTGATATAGCTAAATTGTAAATAACACTCACTTTATTGACTTTTCTGTTAACATTTTAGAAGGTATTTGTACAAGTTTTTGTATTTAGAATCTTCACAAAACATTCATATACTAAAGAATAAACAAGTTTGATCTAATAATGCACTTTAAATTTAACTCGTGGATTATATTTTGGCTCATTCAAATTTCGTCAGGCTATAGAATCGAAGATTTGATACAACCATAATGTCATAGAAAGTCAACTGTTATTATTATTATCATCATTTGTATAACAATATATATATATATATATATATATATATATATATATATATGTATTAATTATAATATATAAACAACAACGAAATATAGATATATTTAGTAGTTAGTAGTAGTAATATATAGTACGACGTGTATTATTA